AGATAAATATACATCTTTCTCGCATCACATGGGTGAGACAACATCATTTCCTCGCAACGCACTAGTGCAAGGACTTCAACTCCTCGCATCATATCGGTACGATAAAAAAAAACTTGTTGCATCGCAAAGATGCGACAAAACTCACTCCTCGCATCATATAGGTGCGATATCCATATTTCATCGCATCAATAAGATGCGATATTCATATTTTATCGCATCAATAGAATGCAATAACTCTAAGTTATCACATCACACAGATGCGATAATAATGAACACTTTTGATCAAAAACCCAGATTTTATAACTCAATGATTATGTCATCATTATCCTGGCATACACCTCTCTTTGATATGCTACATTTATCCCAGTATACACCTCTATTTGATATGTCATTCTTATTTCAACACATGATATAACACAACAAAAATCCCACGTTTATGCTAGTTATAGCATTCAAAACAATTTTATATAAGAAAACCATACGGTTCAAATTCAAATTTACAATTAAGGAAAGTTGTAGAATAAACTCACTTTATGAATCACATAGATGATATGAAGATGAAATAATAACAAATATCCAGACAAATGATCACAAAATTCAACTCCTTTCCCTTACGGTTATGTTTTCTTCGCACGTAGAAGCACACCCTGAAAGCTGCTAATACTTTCTCCCTTCCTTTCTAAACAAACCCCAATGACATAAATGAATATCTCATCAAATAATCCATAACTAAACAATTTTGGCACATAAACACATTTAACCCCTAAACTTACCAATATTTTTCAAAAACAACCTTAAGCATTATAACTGAATAACCGGTTATCACATTAAACAAATAAAAATGAATGATGATGATGATAGTATAAATACATATTCATTTAAAAAGATATAATAAAAAAATACGAAAACATAATATCTTTTTATTAGAAAAATTCAAAAAAACCTAACAAATTTTCTTATTTTGAATGGTTTAATCCTTAAATAATTTTTTAAATAAAAATCCATTAAATTTTCGTATTTTGAATAACAAGACCTTGAATTTAAAAAAAGAGAAATAAACCATCAAACTTTTATTAATCAGTTAATGTAATATTTTTGGGTTAAAAAAATTAACTAATTTTTAAAAGTACGATGGTTTATTTGTTAAATTTTTTTTTTCAAAAACTTGATTTTATAAATAAAATTTATCCTTTTTTTCTAAATGCACGTAAAAGAAAAAGGAAAATGAGATCCAATCTTCAGCAAAGGTAAAAGAAAAGGTCATCATGACCCAATGGTGGCATTGTATGAAGCTTTATGATGTGGATCACTCAATCATTCATCTCCTTAAATTAAATATTTCATTATAATATGTAATATAAGATATTATTAAACATTTAAAAATTAATATTAAAATATTTAAATAAAGAATAGTTTTTGAAATTTAAACTTAAAATGAAGGACGTTATAGCCATTTTAGCATTTCCAAGCATGTTTTATGAAGTTAAAGTAACATTTTTATTATATTTATTAAAAAATTGAATAAACCTTTTCATATAATATATTATTTTATTAAAAAAACTTGTTTGAAAATTTATTAAGGTAATTGGATTAAATATCTATATTATATTATAAAGCATTTGAAAAAAAAAAAATTAAAAACCATTTTTATGCATCAAGTACTGTTTATTAATACATATTACTTAAATTTTGAGATTGCAGATATATTTTGTGCGTAAATACAACTTATTAAAGCTCGATGTTTGAATTCGTGTAACTAAATGCGGATAAATATAATCAAATCGAGGATAAATATCTCATTTTAAAATATAAAAAATCTAAAATATAATTAGAATAATTATCGAGTTTTAATAAAATAATTAATTATTATCTTTATAAGAAAATTATATTATTAAACCAAATATAAATTACTTTNAAATATAAATTACTTCGTTATTGAACCTAAATTAAATTATAATAAAAAAATAGAATTATAAAATTATACAAAAAATATGGAATTTTAAATAGTTAATTTTGATACTAATATCGATATATTTTTGTCAAAATTTTATGATATCTTCAAATTTATATTTTATTCAAAAATAAAAACATCATAGTGTTTTTTAAAATCATATAAGACCATATTATAACATCGACTGAGATAAAGAATAAAATAAAATATTAAAATCAAAATGTATCTCGCTGCATTATATATGTACCTTTCTAGTATTAATAAAAATGCTAGAACTTTTTAAAATGAGAAGTTAAAATATTACTATTAAAAAATAATGGAAAAGTGGGTGGATAAATGTTGTACGATTGCAAGTTGCAAGTGTGGCTAAAACTCCATTTCGACCCCTCATACATCGGTTATGTTCCACAACCACCGGCCAATCCAAATGCGTCCCCCATGTCCCCATTTGTCAAATACAATCCATTATTTATGATATTATTCAACATTTATTTTATATTTAATTATATATATTAGTAGTACGATATATAATAATTTGTAAAATTAAGAGTCGTTTAAATTAGAGAAAATGAGGTTTTTGTTTTCTATTTATTCTAACAAATTATATATATATATATATATATATTGTTCTTTAAAATAGAAAAAATTTAAAGTTTAAAGAATTATCTAAAACTTGATGTGTGGAAAGACAGATTAAATTTTTATAGAATATTTTAATAATATAATAAATGTTGAAACCTTTAGACTAAAAAATTTGTTAGGATTGAATATAATTCTTTTTAGAAATTTTGATTCTTATAAAAATATAGAAAATATGTGGAAAAATAATCTTAGAGTCTTCTCTCTCGGTCTTTGCAATATCTTTTATTGAGTAAGATTCTCGATCATTGTCATGTTCACCAGTAAGATAAATGATGTTAAGTAAATGCTTACCTGATAAGACTTTGATAAACGATCCTTAAATTTTAAAAGATTACGGATTAATAAATAAATTTTATTATTTAATAAATTGTTTCTAAAATTATCTACATATATAATCGTTTATTTTTATATATGAATAAAACACTTGTCTATAAGGAACACATATAAAAACATTTTCCCCAACTAATCCATATAATAAAAACACGAATAATTTAAAAAAAACAACAATAATTTTGACAATAATATATAGTTTATATTGTTTTAATAATTAATTAAACATTTAAATACTTTTTTTAATAATAAAAAACAAAAACAAGAGGAAATCTAATTACAAATAAGACAAAAATTCAATTTATTAAACCCTAAAATTAAGAACACGGTAGTCATTATTTAAAGTTTCTCATTCTTTTTTTCTTAATAAATAATTAGAGATGTATCATATGACATGGTTTCTATTTGAAAATCTGATCAGAAATTTTCATTTAAAATTAAAATTTAACATACTGATTAATATATATTTATTTTATATATATTTAGTTTGCAATGTGAAACATTTTAGTTGTATTAACGCATAAAAATATTTACATTATGAAATAAATATATGTGAATAAATGCATTGTGGAACAAATATATATCAATCAGTACACTAAATCTAAGTCGTAGATGAAAGAAAATTATATGAAATAATACATGATACACAAATTCTCAAATATATCAATATGTAAAACAATATGTAAAACATGATATATCAAATCATTTTCTAAAAATGATCAATTATGAGATATAATTATAAAAAATTATATTTATTATATTGT